TATATATATATGCTAAGGGAATCTTGTTTGGAAGATGAGCATAGCTGTAAAATGAAATGAAAACTTACACTATACCAATGACACTAATTTAATAGCCAAAACTGCAAGGGACCTGCAAGTTCTAATAATAAAAGTCAAGGAACATAGACAAAAATGGGACTAACTTTAAGTATAAGGCCCAAATCAATGATAACAGTGCAACAACCTGCCTTGATAACAGTGCAACAACCTGCCTTAGAATAGACAGTAAAGATACAAGTGGCAGATAGCTTTTGCCTCTTAGGATTAACTATCAATAGCAAACAAGTCAGCAATGAAGAAACATGTTGCAGACTAGCACCCAGCAGAATTGAAATGAAGGCCTTGGAGGAGATATCAGATGTTAAATAATTTTATTAAAGTAAGAAGAAAGATTTAACACTAAGGAAAATATAAAAAGTACAAAAAAGAAGTGCAAAGATGTAAGAAAAGAAAAAACATATAAAAGACTCCCCCCAGACAAGTATAAACGTTCAGTAACTTAATTCTTTTTCTAGTATTTTAGTAAAAAAAAAAAAATCCCATCTCTCATCCCTTATCAATAATCAAATTCTGTAATTCAACATAAATCTATTTTGTAATTCAACTTTCACCAAGAATTAAAGCAAAAGAAATATCTTCCCTCTTAATAAACAAACTTTAAAGCATTGACATTCAGTTCTGATTTGAAAAAATCCACTTATAGCTATCAGAAACCATAATATACATATTCTAACTCTGGTCAAATAGTTCGTTTTGTAGTCTTTCCATTTCTTTCTAAAAAGCTTGGCCTTTAATTCTTTCAAGTAATGCCCCAGAAGTTGATTTCATATTATTTTCTTTTTATTTCTTTTCAGGAAAAGCTTCAGTAGTTTAAAATGTCCTTTTGTAAACCCAACATAAAAAAACTTTCCAAATCATTCTTATTTGTATTTGTTTAGTTATTAGCCAGTTTCAAATATGCATCCTTCGTGATATCTTTTTCCATATCTCTGTTTTATCCACCACTTGTTCAGCACTCTCTTAATTCCAAATGGCTGCTGAACGAGTGGCTGAGGACTACCGGCTGCTAGAAACTGACACTGATTTGATGGTTACACAATCAATCAATCAATCAGAGATAAATGTGCCATAATATTTATATCACAGTGTTTCTAATCAAACAAAATATTTTGTTCATTTTTCACAAAAATTGACCATTATTGAAAGCTTGAATTAAACCAAATTTTTAATAATTTTACAGAGGAAAAAATATAGAAATGACTTCCCCTTTCATTAGTACAAGTACAAACATTTTCAGTAACTATATACTTACAATTTTACATTTCTTTATACAGTATCTTGTCATTTTCTCTAGATACAAAAAGAAAAAAAACCCTCTTCTTCCCATATCTTATCTAACATCTTTAAAACTTCATAATTCAATAAATAAAAATATCATTAGTTGTTACCAGAAGAAATATATTATACTTATTCTTTAATTCCTTCAAATAATGTCACACAAATTAAATTCTTATCAGCTTCTTCATCTGTTCTCAGTTTTAATACCGTAGCTCATCACTATATCTAAAAATGCAACAAAAACTCATTTCTCCCCATATCTTACCTTTTAAAGCCTCATGATTCTGTCCTACTCAAGAAAAAACATTAAAAGCTGCTAGGAAAAAGAAACGGAATCATATATATTTTAGCCTTGTACGAATAAGCTAACTTTGTAAGGTTTTCTTTTACTTTTAAGGGTCTTGATGTTTATTCCTTTTAAGTAAAATCTCCAAAGTTGATTTCTTTTTTTCTCTCTCTCTATCTTTTCTTAGGAATTTCTTCATAATATATATTTCTTTTGTAAATCCAAAATAAGAAAATTGTCCATTAAAATGCAGTTTCCATGAACAGGAATAACCTACATACGTTCAGTGCAGTGGGCATTAAAAGAGTTTGCGCTGCTGTCTTTAACAGGAAAAGAATAGCTCAAAATAATTATTTTTTTACAGTTTTGGATTGTTTGAGACAGATTTCAAAAGCCTTTTGAAACTAAATAGGTTTCAAGATGGCTGCGCACATGGATACTGCGGCTAACCACTCCTTTCAGTGTATGGTGTGTATGATTCTGTGTGTGTTTTGGATCCTTTGCTTGATTGAATCCTGTGGGGCATCTATAGTTGGCAAGCCTTGTTACAAATTGGACTGAAATGTGAAAAGGCTATTACGGACAATTTTATACATTCTCATAACATACCGAAGGAGGCAGCTAGGCCCTTGGGGGAGCCATGGATCACTATCCCTGTAGGAAGGAGGAAGAGGCGGAGAAAGAGGAAGAGGAAGAGAGGATGCAATGCTGGGGTTTTCTTTAGGCAGAGTAAGTTTCCACACAAGCCTTCAATTCCAAGTATATTTCTTACCAATGCAAGATCTCAGACTAACAAAATGGATGAATTAAGGCTACAGATTGCAAAGACTAAATTCATCAAGAACTGCTGTGCTTTGCTAATCACAGAAACTTGGCTTCATTCACTCATTCCAGATGCAGCTGTTGAGCTGGAAGGCTACATAGCTCAGAGGCAGGACAGGAGTAGAGATTCTGGCAAGATCAAAGGGAGAGCTTTAAGCCTTTATGTGAACAAAAGCTGGTGTATCAATACAAAGACTGTAGACAGCCACTGCTCCATGGATCTGGCGTATATGACTCTTAAATGTAGACCCATATAACTTCCACGGGAATTCAGCGTGGTTTTGATTACTGCAGTCTATGTCCCACCTGATGCCAATACTACCATAGCTTTGGGATTCTTATATAACATTGTTAGTAATCAGCAGAATAAGTATCCTGATGCTGTGCAGATCACAGCCGGGGACTTTAATCAAGCTGATTTAAAAGAAGTGCTCCCTAAATTCTATCAGCATGTTAAGTGTGCTATTAGACGAGCAAACATATTGGACAAAGTATATACCAACATCAAACATGGCTATGAAGTTATACAATTACCACATTTGGGACAATCAGACCATATGTCACTGCTTTTAGTACCAGCGCACATCCCTCTTAGGAGACGGGCTCTGCCTATAATAAAGACAGTGAAATCTTGGCCAGAAGATGTTTCCCAACAACTTCAGGATTGTTTTGAGAACACAAATTGGGACGTCTTTTACCCCCCTGACCTAGAGGAGCACACTGCAACTGCTCTGTGCTATATCAAACACTGCACAGATACTATCACTGTGGATAAACGTATTAGGATCTATCCCAGTCAGAAACTCTGGGTGACCAAGGAAGTCCAGCGCCTCTTGCGTGACAGGACCAAGGCCTTTAGGTCCAGTGATGGGGCAAGATACAGTGTTGCCAGAGCTAGTCAGAAGAAAGGTATTCGGAAGGCCAAGACTGAGTATAAAATGAAGATTGAGGATAATTTTTATAGCAATAACATGAGGCAGGTGTGGCGAGGATTCAACAAATTACAAACCATCAACCGACCAATGTCATCCCAGCTGAGGGGGATGATTCATTGGCAGAGGAACTGAATCATTTCTTTGCTCGCTTTGAAGTGGAGACATCAGAGACAGATAAAATACAATCACCAGCCAATTGTAGCCCCCATCTCATTGTGGAGGAACAGGAGGTGAGGAGCATTCTGATGGCTGTGGACCCTAGAAAGGCTGCCAGTCCTGACGGTATCTCTGGCCAAGTGCTTAAAGACTATGTTGATCAGTTGGCTGGAGTCTTTACCAGGATCTTCAATCGGTCTTTATCCCAGGCCACTATTCCATCTTGTTTGAAGGCTTCCACCATTGTTCCGCTGCCAAAGAAGTTCCCTATCAATAACCTCAACGATTACAGACCAGTGGCACTCACTCCTATCATCATGAAGTGCTTTGAGAAATTGGTCTACTGGCACATCATTTCTGGTCTTCCACATACCTTTGATAAACACCAGTTTGCATACAGAAAAAAAATAGATCTACAGAGGATGCTATAGCCATCACTCTTCACACTGCTCTGACTCATCTAGAACAGCGGCGGGGGGTGGGGTCTATGGCAGTAGCTCTTTTGAATTCTGCTGTATAGTGCAGTGTTGGTGTAGTGTCGGGGATTTTCGGTTCAATGTGTGAAGGGTGAAGGATGTGTGTTTGTGTTTATTTTCATGGTCATGGACATGATGTGCACTGAAGATGGTGTTTGATTTCGTTGTGTGAGGTGCAATGACAATAAAAGTAAAGTAAGGAAGTAAAGTAAGGAAGAATAGACTAGTTGATTTGATTTCAGAGAAAACTAATTCTCAAATCTCAGAAACACTAGAGTAATTGGTTAGTTATATGCACCAGGCTAAAAAGAAAGTTCTAACCAGCTTCATTTATAGTTCTATATTGCAATTATGGGATTATAAGTTAAATAAAAAGATGTAGAGAAAACCTGAAAAGCCATTTTAAGTTAAACACCTTGGGTATGTTGCAAGAATATTTCAAATTAAATAACAGACTTAATGCTGCAAATACATGCCTAATTAAAGGGGGGAGGTCTTCACTACAATATCAATTGTTCAGGAGACTTACAATATTAAAAAAAGCAAAAGACAATATATTTATTATGAATATATGTATGTTCAAATACAACTTTAAACAAGAATTAGTTGAACACCATCCAATCTTTTAAAGAGCATTCACATAAAAATCTAATGGCAGGAATAAGAACTTATAACCAATCTACATCAGTTGCAGAAAACAATTATGAAAGAAAAATCTCTCACCTAAATGTATCCAACCGTTGAACAATCAAATGATATTCTTAGTTAAGTTTCTCCTTTTAAAAAATCGTCATGTTGGATTTATAGCTCTACTGCGTATCCACTATCAACTTGGCTTCCCATCAATGGAAATCTATTTAAAGAGTTCTCCACTAGAAAGTAGAAAGAGGCATTTTCTTCTTTTCCTATTATTCTTCATTTCTTCAGAATCACTTTTCACTGGACATTAAAGGGGAAGAAAACTTTCAACATACCTTGAGTGTAGAACACAGCATTTCCGTGTCAGAAATAGCTTTCTGGAGTGATTCTATAGTGGCATTACGTAGATCCAGTGTCTCTCTCAATGAATTTACAATACATTGACAATCTCGTTTTTCTTTTTCTGAAACAAAAAATTATAATGGAAGTAAGGGCCCGCCTGAGTTTTATAAATTTCTATATTTAGTGAAGAAATAATTCTTAACACACATACCCGTAGCAAAGATCTAGAATTGAGTGAGAAAGAGAAGGAATTTAGCCAGAGGCAATAGTGTGTGCAACAGAGTACAGAATAACAGAGTTAGAAGGGATCTTGGAGGTCTTCTAGTCCAACGCCTTCTCAAGCAGGAGTCCCTACACCATTGCAGACAAATGGCTGTCCCCTCACTTCTTAAAAACCTCCAGTGATGAAGCACCCACAACTTCTGGAGTCAAGTCATTCCACTGATTAATTGTTCTCACTGAGGAAATTTCTCCTTAATTCTAGGTTGGATCTGTCTTTGCTAAGCTTCCACCTGTTACTTCTTGCCTTGTCCTCCCTCGGGTACTTTAAAGCAGGGGTCGCCAACCTTTTGGACCTCAGGGACCACCAAACTCATAATTTTAATTCCCGCGGACCAGAGACTCTGGGAAAATCCCAAAAAAGTCTGCAGGAAAATCCCCCACCCCGTTTTCCTACTGATTGATTGTTCTTTAGTTGGGATCGCAGGATACCGTCTCCAGCTCCATTCTCAGGGGAAGAGAGAGAGAGAGAGAGAGAGAGACTTTTGGCTTCAGGCAAGGAAAGCAGCCGAAGTCTTTCTTTCTCTCTCCCAAACTCCACCAGAAATAAGTCTTTGTGAGACTTGTTGCACCAGCGCAGCCTCTTGGAGCAGGATGCCTTGCAGGATCCCAAAAATTCATTTCTGGTGGAGTTTGGGGAAGACAAAGACTTTTGCTGCTTTCCTCGCGTGGTCAGGTGAGGTGCGTGGGGCGCGTGGGGCAAGTTCCCCCCCTCTGCCCTTTCCCCCTCCCCTCACTACCTCATGTTGTTTGCAATGCAAGTGACACAAGACTTGTGTTCCCACGGGCCATGTGGGTAGCACAGCCTTGTGTTCCCGCACAGCCTGAATTAGTTAGTTAGTTTACTTTATTGTCATTGCACCTCATACAACGAAATCAAACATCATCTTCAGTGCACATCATGACCATGAAAATAAACACAAACACACATCCTTCACACTCCACATTAATTGCTTTGGGGGTGACATTTCTCTGCAGACCACCAAAATTTTCTCATGGACCACCAGTGGTCTCCGGCCCACTGGTTGTTGACCATTGCTTTAAAGAACAGGTTGTTCCCCTACTGTCTGTGACAGTGTCTCAAATATTATGTCATCTATTATGTCATCCCCAGTCCTTGTCTTCGTTAGACTAGACATTCTGAGTTCCTGGAAGTGTTTATTGTATGGCTGACCAATCTTTGTTGTTATTCTTTGCATTCTTCCTAGAGTCTCAGAAACCTTTTTGTACTGTGTTGACCAAAACTGCTCCACTAATTTAGTCACTTTGTCAAAGAATGCAATAAAATCACTGCCTTTATCTGGCTCTCCAAAAGCTGCGGGCATATCTATTTTTTTCTGGGAACATTCCTCTGGGAATTGCTTCCTTTTCAACTTTGTTTTTGTATCGTGTGTGTGCAAATATACAAGGAGAGACAATTCCAAAGAAAGAGGGTAGAAAAAGGATGGGTTGACATACTGTGGATGAGATTCAAGCCGAACTCCCCATCTCCTTTTGATTTCGACATCATCCACTATCTTGGATGGAAGGTTGACTCAGCCTTCCATCCTTCTGAGGTGGGTAAAATGAAGACCCAGATTGTTGGAGGCAATATGCTGACTCTGTAAAAACTGCTTAGAAAGGGCTGTAAAGCACTATAAATCAAGACTTCTGGTTTGGGCTTCTTCAGCAACGGACCGAAATTGCGATTGTGTGCAGTTTTGATCCGTGCTCGCCACTGGAGCATCCCGAGCCGCCCGGATTCGGGGCTGAAGCCACCCTGTAGAGGTGGTGAAAAAGGGGGAGCTGTCAGCGGGGTTGAGGAGAGCCGCATCTCTCCTCCTTGGCTGGCCATTACTCCCTTTCCCAAAGGCGGTTGCGGCGGTGGTCAGAAATGGCCACCTCAAAGAAGAACCCGACTGGACAAGATTGTACAGGAGGAAGTTTAAAGAAGAAAGTTTGACGGACCAGGTTGAATGGAGAACATCTATTTAAGGTACCTGGAACCTGAATTTTAAAGACTAATACTATTCCTAAAAAAGATTTTAAGCGGCGAAAGAGAAAGGGAAAGGAAACGGAATTGGCTTTTTTTCCTCTCACATTGACAGTTTGAATTGACTTGGAACGTTAAGAAGAAGAGATTTGAATAAAAAATTGATACTAATCCACTTTGACATTAATAGGCTATTTCTAGCTGAAAATAAAGTGTCAAAGGGATAAAGATTCTTGGATAATTTAAAAATTTTCTTTAAAAAAAGAAAGAAAGCAGCGGAGGGAAAAAGGAAACAAGAGGGTGGATTCTGGAAAATGGAGGAGACCACCTGGAACTTTAAAAAAATCGATAGTGGAATTTTAACAAGGCTTGCAAGAGATACATTGTAGCTGAAACTTTGTTACAAGTTAGCAAAGCCCCTGGAAGGAGAAAGTAAGGAAAGAAGCAAGAAACAGTTTTGGATTATTGGATGATTCCTGGAACTTTGGATGGAGGATCCTAATGAAACAAAATAAAAGCAATTGGGGTTTAAAAAATTTTAAAATGGCATCACTCCTTGAAGAATTAAGAATGAGACTTAAAGAACAAAAAGAAGAAAGCACAAGAGGGAAGAAGATCTTTTGGCTTCATATTTCAATTTTTAGAAATGGAGATCTTGAACTATGAAAAACAACAAATGTTGGCAGAACAAGAAGGGTGGGACAACGAAGAAGCCATCTTTAATGACCAAGCAATTTTAAGCAGGGTAAAAAAGGGAAAGGGGGGGGAAAGGGAGTTAAAAACTTAAGCATTGAAGCAACAACAACAACAAAAAAAGAGTAATTTGAAAAGTAATCATAACATCAGGAAGAAGCAGAAGGGAGGATCACTGAAGGGAGAATCAGATAGAAAAGGGAATAAAAAGGGGAGGGAGAAGAAGAGAGGGAAGAGGGAAACGAAAAGAAGCTACAAAGGACAGAAACAGGATATAGAGGTACAGGAAAAGCGTACAAGAATTAAAGGTATAAACCTATTTAAAAGACACAGAGACAATGGTTAAAATTTAATTTAAGGAGAGGATTCTGCAAGGGTGCATGGGATACCATTGTTATATTAGAAATAGAAAAGGGTTAGAAAATATGTTAGATGATTAAACTGATAGAAAAAATTTCTATTGATGTGTAGTGGAATATTTGTTTGTAAAGAGAATAAGGCTCTCAATGATTTAAAAAGAAAGTTTTAAAAAATCTGAAAAGAAACATGGAAGATTTTTATCAGTTGACAAGATGAACTTGAATAAGAATAATAACTCTATTGATTACTGTTAATAACTATTGTTTGGTTTTTTATTTAAAGACAGTAATAAGTAAAATATGAAATATAGATGATTAAAGTGAAAGACAACTGATATTACGAGGTAATGTTTGTTAAAAGAAATAGAAATGTAAAAGATTGTTAGTAATATTAATGGCAGAGCTGTACTTGAATAGAATAATTATTCCATTTACTGTTGTTATACGTATATACACAGATATATATACTTTTTTCTTTTAAGTATTTAGTGTGTATTTTTAAGGGAATGTACCAAGCAGAATTCAAATGAAAATAGGTATGTGTTATAAAATAGAGTTTAGAAAATGAATGTTAACTGTAAAGGTGTAATTGAAATTTTTAAACAAGATTTGAAAAAAGATACAAAGGTGTTACACTCCAGTCTAGTAATTACAGGGGAAATTTTTTTTAATGAGAAAAGATAATATGAAATTGTAAACAGGACAGACAAAAGTATAAAAACATTGATTAGAAAGATTTTAAAAATTAGAAAAAGATATGAAATTGAATTAAGAAAGGAATGAGATAATTTAAAATAAGGCTATAGGAAGTAAAGAAAGGGAGAAGCTATTGAAAAAACTGCGAAAATAGTTATAAGATATGGATTAGAATGTATAAGATAAATATGTATTGAGTTTATGTCTGTATGGAGAAGTGATAACCCGGGGGCACACTGTTCTCAAAAAAGATATTTTATTTGTATTTGTATGTTTTGTGAAAACTTAAATAAAACTTTTATTATTAAAAAAAGTACTATAAAGTGGTATATAAGTCTAAGTGCTATTGCTATCTCATCCAGGTCCGATTACAATCTTTTACAGTCCCCAAGGACTTTTCTTGTACATTAATGATTCTCCATTCTGTTCTAAAAATTGTTTGGATATTTGTCAAAGCCATTGTATCAATAGCACTTGATACAAAGTGCTAAAAATAATCCTTGTTAAAAACTTCACCAGATTTCAAAGCCTCTTTTATACCACTTCAGAGCTTGTTCAGTGGGCTGAGGCAATACACACACTACGCTCCTTTTTCTTCAGGATCAGAATGTACTCCAGCACAGCCTTGCTTGAATCCCTGAAATCCATGAACTAACAGTTACACAATGATATAATGATGAAGTTTTGAAGACCAATTGTAGAAGTATTATATTTTGTTTTCTCAATGAGGATTCTCATAGATTGATATATATTGAGAAAAAGTACAGTGAAACAAGAGGGCAGGGCTGTTATACTGAACTATTACACTGCTATCATGTCATTCACTTTCATTACAGTTTGTGCTTTGGGGTGAGGAAAACAAAACTCCTGGCCCATTTTATATAGTTGTAAATATTATTATTCTTTAAGGTGTCATGAGAGACAAATGTTACACTCAAGGAAGGAAGATCAATGAAACTGTCTCACTCTCATAGGTAAAGGTAGAAACACCTGCAGATGAACTTAATTCCTGGTGACTACAGTTTTCTTGGAGTATGGAAATGGTTTGCCCTTGTCTTTTGGGGGGATGTTTATTATCTGTCCCTGGTATTCATAATGATATTCTGCTTAGCTCCCAACTTAAAGACTGTTAGTTTCAACCACCAGTGAGAGCCTCAATCATTATTTTCAAAAAATATTGCCCCAAAATGCTTCTGATGCAACGTATAAGTGATTTTAGAAATCTACAAGTCAGCAAAGTATTCTGATACGTATTATTTCAATTGCTACAGTCTCAATATAAAAAGGTAAATTGGATAAAGTAACATTATTGAGTCCTGAATTGTTGTGGTCAAAACCTGGATAACTTAAAGCAATCATTAAATTACTTTGAAGATACAATGTAATTTGTATCTGTATTCTCCCATTCCTCTCTTCCAGTTAGGAAATCAGACAGACAATACTGAGAAAATTTACTGTATATAAACTTATACAAGCATACAGACTAGCGCACCATATTAACTGAAAGGATGGTAAAGCAACCTGTGTATCTCATCTACTTTCTTGACAAACACATAATTTTACACAAATGCTTACAAACAAAAAACAAGTACTCACTTCGAATACTGTTCATATTCAGTCCCCTCACTGAGTCAATCAGCAGAATCCAAAACATACGTACTACATCGAAACGGTCCATCACTTGTGCCACATGCAGAGTCAGCCAGCAAAAATTCAAATTCGACCATGCATTTTTTTCCTTACACTTGGATTCATACTGCATCTTATGGTGCTTTCCATTGGTACTCATGCCTTGTAAGGTTTTTTTTCAAAACAAAATTCGCTGGTCAAATTAAAATTCCCTCAAATGAGTTCAGGATTGGAGAGAACAAGGGAGGCGGCAGAAAGCACAAGCCTGCAAAATGGCAGGGAGGTGCTGCAAGTAATGACTGTCCTCTTTCTCATCCTTTCAGTCTGAATTACAGTACACAATTGTGTTGGCCAAAACCTGACTCACCTAAAGCAACCAGATCACTTTGAAGATGCAACGTAATTTTACTAGCAGGCAAACAATAAAGCAGCATCTACTGGGCACCCCGGCAAAGCATTAGCACTTTGCTGGGCAACCCTGATCAAATGCAGAACCAGAGCTTATATACTCTTGGCGTCGTAGATTGCAAAGGCAAGGCAACCAAAAAGGCAGACCTAGTGGAAATTACTGTAAAGCATGACCTCAGAGTGTTTTTGGATAATCTGTCTGGGTGATCATAATAAGGTCACCCAGACAGATTATCCCAGAACACTCTCTTCCTACTAGTTCAGCATGCCAGCAATACCACAGTATGTCTGAGATATAGTCAATGAATATAAATAATTTCATTTAGTGGGCCATAGGCTCCTACTGATTCGTCTCCCTTTCACTGCTCAGGATCAATTAGTGAATGCAGGAGATGGGGGGGGGGGAGGTGTCAATTTTACCGTCACGATACATATATGGGACAGAAAATAATCCAGTAAGAATCAATGTTTGAGAAACAATGACTTTTCCCGGCTGCTCTTATAAAACTTTCTCTTTTATTGTATTCTGATATTTTAAGACTTTTGTCTTTCAAATTAAATGACGTTTTCTTCACTCTTTATGACTCATAACCATCTATAGAAAATAATAAAAAAGATCATATTCTTAAAATTGTGGAAATTGAAGGGAATGAATAATTACCCACAGAACATCCTCTTCCCTTCATAAGTTTATTTTTCAGTTCTATAAGCCAAGCCTATAATGTTTCTATTGCACAACTCTGGACATTTAGCATAAATACAGTATTTCCCAAAATAATTATGAAGATTTGGACTGTTTGGATGTTCATCAAACTCAATTTTATCATGTAAAATCTATGGCTAAACAAGATTTGGCCCATAATCAACTAGTGGTTCATATTTGTTTATTTATTTATTTATGGATGGTATGGCTAAATATGGTGGTTAATGGCATTTTGTTTATTGCCAACAGAAGGAAATATAGGTAAGCTCAGAGTTGAACTGTGGAGTCTCTTTCAGAGCTTGGTTGACTGCTTTCAGATGTTTCATTACTCAAGTAGGTAACATGTTCAATCCTAGAAGGGCCTGGGATTTGCCTTCTGTTTATATCCAGTAGTTTGGCTGTCAGCATTAGCGGGAGTATTATTTTCTCCCTGGTAGTTCCTTGATAGGCTATTGTTTAGTGTTTGACTATGAAATCCCTGCCTAGTGTTTTTGGATTTTTTGGTGTGCACCCATGAACACCAGTTAGGAATCAGAAGACATCATAAAAACTCCTTAATTTCACAACAGATGGACAGACTTAACTACAGTTTCAACTGGAAAGGAAGTAAGCATCCTAGACCAAGCTAAATCCCAAAACACCAGGGGATTCCTGGAAGCTTGACCCTCATACAATCAACAGGCACATAGAGAGAAACAACATTTATACACCATTCAAGAGACAATAAAAAAGCTAAAAAGAAAACAAAAAGACCAGAACAGCTCCTCACTAGCAATCAACACCAAGATAAGCAGGGATTAGCAGCAGGAGTAACACTACACAAACAATCAAGCAGTAAACAACAGCTTAATCAAATAACTATAGGTAGTCCTCAACTTATGACAACTGAGCCCAGAAATTCTGTCGCTAAGTCTGTTTAGTCCCATTTTACACCCTTTCTTGCCACAGTTGTTGTAAACCACTGCAGTTGTTAAGTTAGTAACATGATTAAGTGAATCTGGCTTCCCCATTGATTTTGCTTGTCAGATCAGAAAAGGTGATCACATGACCCCGGGATACTGTAACTCTCTAAATATGAGTCAGTTGCCAAGCATCAAAATTTTGATCAAATGACCATGGGAAAGCTACAATGGGGATAAGGGTGAAAAATGGTTGTCAGTCATTTTTTTCAGTGTAGTTGTAAGTTTGAACAGTTGCAAAACAAACTGTTGTACGTCTAGGATTACTTGTACCAATATAAACAGAGGGCAAACCCTATTCCCTTCTAGCACTGAAGATGCTACACGATAGAAAACAAAATGTCTGCAAGAAAACTGCTCAGCACCAAATAGTCTACATTTCATTCTTAATCATGTGCGGGCAGAAGAAATGTCATTCCTCAAATTTGGAGGTAGAAGAAATTTTATACAGATGTGTAAAAAGACTAGGTCTAGGACAACACCATAACAACAATTAGGTCCTCAACTTACATTTTAGTGTCTCAGGCCACTCATTTTTCAACTTACCTTTCATGGATAGCTGAGCTTTCACCCTATCTAGTTCATTCTGAAACACAAAGAGAATCAAATCAGGTTAAAGAATGGAGTCCAAGACATCATCACAACTTTAAAAAAATGTATGTATAGGTAATGTATGTTAAGGTCAGGCAGGCTCTGTCTGAGCATGTGTGATGTGTTCACTGTTGTTCATTTTCTGAACGTTATATAATTCATGTTGTTATTTGTCTGATCACTTATAATGGTCAGTTAATCAGCTTATGGTTACTAATTTATTATCACAAATCAACTGACTGATGCAGGGAAAGCAGAAGAGCCTCCATGGATCACAGTTTTGACAATCACTACTTTAGAACTACAGGAATGCTAAAAAAAAAGATCTTGAAGAATTAATACCAGAAAAATTATCATCTTATTACCGTATTTTTCAGAGTATAAGACACCCCGGAGTATAAGACGCATCTAGCTTTTGGGGAGGAAAAGAAGAAAAAAAAATCTGCCTCTGCCTCTGGCTCCTAGCACCCATCTGGTATTCATCTGGCCTGTTCACCGCTGCCACGGCCTGTTCACCACAGCCCGTTTCGCTGCTGTCCATTCGCTGTAGCCATTTGCCACGGCCCGTTCGCCACTGCCCATTCGCCGTTGCCACTGCAACCTATTCACCACGGCCCGTTTGCCGCGGCCCATTCATTGCCGCAGCAGCCCATTCTAGAACAGCAGATTAACCCCTCTCCCCACCGCAATATTCGCTGTATAAGACACAGAGACATTTCCACCCACTTGTATAGTGCTTCAGATCCAAAGCAAAAAATAAAAAAAAACCTTGAGAGTGGATGTGAGCATAAACACTACACCTATCAGTGCGTCTGTAAAACAGACACATTTTTATTCAAAGGTGTTTATATTAAGCACTCTTTTATCTTCCTATCTGAAGTGCTGCACATCCACATTTAACTGTTTTCTTACAATAACTATTTCAAAAACTGCAAATTATTTCCTTTTCTTAAGTTTATAGCAACTTGAATATTTCATAATTGCTTCTCTCAATGTATAGGTTTTCCTCAATCAAAATGATGCAAGGCAGTAAACAATACCTTAAATATCTTTAAATAAATAAGACCAAATATAGCAATAATAGTGCACTGGGAAATACACAAAAATCAAACAGCCACCATTCAAGCAGTTCACAGATTGCCTTGATCCAGGGAAAGGCAACTTTCTATTGCTTTCTTAAAGGTCAGCAAAGTTGGGGCCAATGGAGCTCAGGAAGAATGCTATCCCAGAAGCCAGGAGCAATAACAGAGAAGCATCTCTCTAGAGTTTCACAAAATGACATTATTTTGTAGGTTGGACTTGGATCATACCTTCTCTTATGAGATTAGTAGGCAAGATTGAAAATATCTAGTTCCTGATCCATGAACAATCACTTTGAGTTATAACTAGTAGTTCACTAGTTTCCAGTGAAATTGTGAAGTACAGGCATAGAAAAATACATTCTAGGTCCCTTATACTATGCATAGCAACAGTTCAAATGGGAGGCAACTATAGCATGAATGACTGAGAATAACCTGTTGGCCAAGGAAAGGGTCTAATCCAAACATAATGGATCTATAGATCTATGCAAAAACCACTCCGGATAGATTTGCCACTTTTTCAGTGAGTGCCATGAGCCCATGTGGACCCTCAAAGTAAACATGAATGCCGCCTGGAGAAAAGTAATCCTATCAAGAATTAAAAATGAGAAATTCCTGAATATGGCCAATCCGTCAGTCTTGCCAGGGTTGAACCTGTTCTTTTCCATTGAGACCCTAAAAGCTTCCAGATACTACGACAGTGTCTCAACAGCTTCATTTGGTCAGCTGGAATATACAACTGTGCCTCATCAGCATACTTATGAAACTTATTTCCATGCCATTGGATGACCTGGCCCATAATTCTCATTTGATGTTAATTAAGAGAAGGGAAAGCAAAGATTCTTCTCGGGCTTTATTTATTTAAATAATTTATATGGCTGCCCATTGCACAACAGTGGGCACATGCAATAATCAAAACTGCTGCAAGCAAAGACTTATGATACCTGGGGGTAAACAGTGCAACTCAATCATTAAAAATACACCAATAGCAGAAGTCACTTAAATCCAGCTTAAACATAATGTTTAAAGAGTGAGCAGTAGGTAAACAGGAAAAGGCCATACCACTTGCATGAAGTTTGAAATACAAAGGAATGCAAAAGCAGATTCACCCTAGTAAGTGTTAAGTATTTACCGGAAATAGTAATCTTATTCCAAGTACATTGTTTAGTTTAGGAGCTACCTTGTACAGTGACTATTGGCAGTTATGATTGATGTCAAAAAAGCAACTTTGTGACCAATCCTTGCATTTACAACCTTTCAGGTCCGTAAAGCAAAGGAAAAGTAAAGTAAGATCATAAGCATGCTTGCAGTTTGACTTAGTGACTGCTTCATTTAACGACTGCCTCAATTTTGGTCCCTAAATGGGACTACCTGCAATAGGTATAAACTTTTGCAAGGCAAGTCCAATTTTCCTACCTGTAGACTTTCTGCATCCAGTTCTGACTGCTCCTCTAGGGCAACATCAAAAAACAATTTGTTGATTATGTGTCTTTTCCCAACCTATAGAAAACGTGTAAAAAAAAAAAAATCCCAGTAAATAAATGTGAACAATTGTTTCTAAAACAATAATTTGTATTTTATTGCAACACAATAAAGTTATCTCAGAACATTAAAAAACAAAGCTTTCCTCAACATTAACATAAAATGCATTTGTATATCCACTAGACATCTAAATTGTGAGATTGGAAACATATGTTTAAGGATTCAAGGACAGCAGGGATATTAATGTAACCTACCAAACATGGGGGACTAACCCCAAGGTGACACATTTCCCATTTCTATTATCACTCTGCACTCTTTCCCAAATTTGCAGTCATCATTCCAGCACAGAGTTTTGGAATGTTGACAAAGTATTTCATACACCTTTGGAAAATCAGTGCAATTTGTTCTCTGGCAGTTTCAGCTTAGCAGCTGAGGCTGAGCTCATGCTGTGCCAAATCCAAATATGTGCTATTTGCTTTATAAAAAAAATATAATTGAAATTGAATGTGATAGCTATCCCCACCTCCCCCGTGCAGCTACAGCTTTGTGTTCTAAGTATTATATGCAATCATGACACTCGCTAATTGCATAGTTACTCTTTCACAAGATGCTATTTTGTTTCTTGCTGCATGGTAACCAGAGATGCAAGAGGTGGGGAACAATAGAGGGAACCAACAAGTCAGAAGAGCAACAAGGGCCAAACCCTGACAAGGACAGAAAAAGGTGGAAGCACAATTAAATAAGAACATACTGCTTAGCACTCGACAATCGATTATCATTTGAAACTTTGTACTTCATTCTGTGTTGCAGAGGGGAAAACACCAAAGATTCTGATTGAAGCTTACAAAACATAAGTGGAAAGCTGAATGGAACATATTACATAACTGATTTAACTGGAATTTAAATTTAGTAATTTCAGTAAGAAAAGAACTTCAAAAATGCTCCTAAAATTAATAAAATAATTCACATTCAAATTGCACTGAAAAGAAATTAAAAAAATAGTTGCAACTGATTCAAGTGCATCTTAATTTCAATTAGATTACTCTAGATTTGAGCATCTTCACCTGAGCAATGTCAACTGAAATCTGATTTCAAAATACTAAAATGGGGTCAGAATTAGACCAGTAAATCTTTAACTAAACCTACAATTTAATGCAGCTATCCCCTACCAGATTCCTTCCTAATGTGTTTTGTAATACTCAGGCTACCTACCATTGATGAATAGTAACAAATCATTTTTCTACAGTGTGCATCAATCTTAGCACAAGAGAAGCAACATTCAACTCCATAACAAATCTTACAGTATAATAACCTGTAAATTCGTGTTCCTATAAGAAAGTTTATGCTTGAGAAATACAGTACTAATGGGACTTCTATTAAAAGCAATCAGAACAAAGTAACAGAATAACAGAGTTGGGCAGGATTTTGCAGGTCTTCTACCAGTAGTCCAACCTTCTGTTAAAGCAGGAGACTTTATACCATTTCAGACAAGTGACTGTTCAGTCTCTTCTTAAAAGCCTTCAGTGATCGAGCACCCACAACTTCTGAAGGCAAGTCGTCCCACTGGTGAATTGTTCTGTTAGAAAATTTCTCCTTAGTTCCAGGTTGCTTCTCTCCTTGATTAAGTTTCCACCCATTGCTTCTTGTCTTACCCTCGGGTGCTTTGGAGAATAGCATGACTCCCTCTTCTTTGTGGCAGCCCCTGAGATATTGGAACACTGCTATCATGTCACTCCCAGTCCTTCTTTTCACTAAACTAGACATAGCCAATTCCTGCAACCATTCTTCATATGTTTTAGCCTCCAGCCTCCTAATCATCTTTGTTGCTTTTTGCACTTTCTAGAGTCTCAACATCTCTTTTATAATATGGTGACCAAAAGTAGATATGGTGTTCTAAATATTCTATTCTAAATCATCTTCATCCAGCTTTTTTCCCCTTAAAGCTGAAGTCAAATGGCAGAAATAAAACTTCTTACCTAACAGGAAAAACAAATCCCAGGGGTTGCAGCTACCAATTCATGAGCAGAATACTTTATAGATGTGTTATTTATGCATAAATAAACCAGCACCTTAAAAGTACATCATTTATTGATGATCTACAGTTCAGGCATGATTTAAAAGGAATTTATACCCCAGAGTAGCATAAATATCGGTAAGTAGTGAGGCACTTTTGCTTCGGCTATGATGGCTGGATTCAAAAGATGAAATTTCAGTGTGGGGAACAGAGAGAAGGCAGCTGGGTAAATATCTGCTGGTGCTGCTCAACTGAGCATCCATGTGGTGCTGGTTTAAAGGCGGCACTCAGATGAGTGAATGTTTGCTAGTACTTGCTGATGGGATAACTGAGGCCTCCTGGAGCTGCTTGCTGCCCTATAACAGTGGGCTAAAAGGGGGAGATAGGCAAATGGGGAGAACTGAAGTGCCCCTGAGGTGCAAGAGCATCAAGCACCTAAAGTTTGTTCATTGATCACAGGGTGCTGTAACTCTGGGTACAAGTTGTAAGTCCATTTTTTCAGCGCAGTTGTAATTTGAATGAATGGTTGTAAGTTGAGGACTACTTATAAAAGCAGCACTTCATAAGATTTTTTTTAAAAAAATACTTTAAATTTAGATCCTGCCATTCTGCCTAACAAGAAAACTCATGAATCGCTAACATTAAAATATTGACATTCACATTTAAAATTGTAATGAAGAGAATTCAAAGGCCAAACATATTATTTAATTCCTAAAGGAAGACGAATCTGAAACTTCTGGAAGAATTCATCCCAATTAGGAAACCTCTAAACACTTTTTGAAAGAGGGCACACCTCTAACAAGGCCTCTCCTTCAGATCTTAATGTATAGGTAATACTCTCTGATATTCAGGACTAATTTTTATGTCTTTCTCAGACAAACAACTGGCAAGCTGTACAACCAATACTTTGTAAATTTAACAACCAAACTTTTTTTTTCTACTAGCAAACACTGCAAGACCTACCTGGATTCTGCACTGTGGACAGGTCCGATTTGGTGCAGTATCAAACCATTGGATGAGACTAGGGCAAATAATGACAATGGGAATGGATAACAAAAACATTTTTTAACATTTTGTTAAAAATATTAAATACGAAAAACAACCAAAGCCAAACAAGTAATACCGTGGTTGTGTTTGCATAGCACAATATAGCACAAGCTAGTCAACCATTTAGTTTAGGGTATTGGTATACTCAATAAAGGAGAATATTTTTGACTCAGGGTTGAAATGAGGGATCCCTGGTGTTCTCTGAGCTTGCTAGACTTGCTACACTTGCTAGCATTGATGATGTTACTTAATGAACCATTTGCAAGAAAAGAACCTCAGTATTTAGCCTATGAGGTTATTTTATGATTGGAACATTGTGCAAACTGAAAAAAAAAGTACATATCTATGGAGACATTGTGCAAATTCTTTCCAAAGGCAACCATACTTTCTAAAAATTAACTAGATTGCAGAATATAAATCCTTGAACAATCCACTATGTGGCAAATAGAACACATATTTATTATTATGACTCCAAATGAGTTCAAAGTAAAACCACAAGTGTTTCCACATAGTCAAAGTACTGTACTATTATATACACTATAGCTTTCAAAGCTGTTCAAGTTTCACTGAAACCACAGCTTAAAGTAAATCAACAGTTTGCCAATAAAAGTAGCACGTCATGCTAGATTTTGGAGGAGCAAATGTAAAGTATTTCTAAAATTGTTTAAAAATGTGTATTATTTTAAGATATATACAAATATGTCTTTGGAATATATACGTTGCATGGAAATGTTATTTCTGACAGATCTTTAGAAAATATGCATAAATTGTACATACAAAATATGTAAGTGTTACTATAAAATTAGCTTTGAAATGACTCAGTAATATAAGTTCTTACAGAATTTAAAATCTTGAACAGGACTTAACTAAACTATTCAATGTCATCATCAATCCTAATCAAGAACAAAATTCCAACTGCATTATATATGCAGAAATAAGGTGAAAAACAATGTAGTAAAATATAAGTCTCAAGAAAGGTACTTAAGTTATGTAAGAAAATCTAATACCATTTTTATTCATATACTCACCACAAATGGTGGAAAGTATGTCCACAGTGAATAGCTGCAACATCAGTCTTATTGTCAAAGAAATCAGAACAGATGGTACAATAGGCACGGATAGGCATGATCTATAATTTCAAAAGAACAATGTAAGGATCAAGCATGGAAGACCCTCTTCTACAAAGGAAAACACTTCCTAAGGATTTTAAGTAAATGGTCCCACAGGAAAATCTATCAAGAACTTGTCCCAAAAGTGCTTTTTCAAAAGGTAGCTGGACTTTGTTTTTCCTTAAAAATGTTTGTCTTCTCATCCAAGAAACTTCTTCAGTTCTTCTTCAGTTCACAACCATGATCTGGATGACTGAGAATCTCACAGATATCTAGAACTTCTGTCGCACGTATATACTTGTTGAATATGTAGAACAGAACAGCCCCTATCAGTGATTCAGAACATTAAGTTGTGTTTGATGACTGGAGAACAAATACAAATATCAAAGCTCAGCATTATTTTGTATTGTTTTACAAATCAGAACATAAGATGTTATAAGCATTTAAAGTCAATAAGAATGTTACTTCTCAAAAATGTCTTCTCCTTCCAAACTGCAACTGATATACAAAACATTCTATCCTACTCCCCTCTGGCATTATTACATCATTGCACCCAATTTCCTAACTGGGCAACTTATAAAGCAGAATAGAAGTCTGTGCAGCTCATAACGCAGATGCTTATCAGCAGGATTACTGACTACTTTGTAAATAAATCAGGGGCATTTCTCCATTGGAAGTACAGACTTTCTGTCATCCAGCCATTAAGGAGAAACAAAGCAGAAAAGCAGGGTTGGAAGGGACCTTGGAGGTCTTCTAGCCCAACGCACTGCTCAAGCAGGTAAACCTATACTATTACCGACAAATGGTTGTCCAATCCCTTCTTAAAAACTTCCAGTGAAATGGTGAAAAAAGTAAGGTGCTATATTTAGGCAAGAAAAACCAAACACACAGGTAAAGTTTAGGCAATACCTCAGTCAATAGTAGTAACTGTGAGAGGGATCTCGGAGTCCTAGTGGACAACCATTTAAATATGAGCCAGCTATGTGCTGCAGCTGCCAAAAAAGCCAACACAGTTCTAGGCTGCAATAATGGGGGAATAGAATCAAGATCATGTGAAGTGTTAATGCCACTTTATATTGTCTTGGTAAGACCACACTTGGAATACTGCATCCAGTTTTGGTCCCCATGATGTAAAAAAGATGTTGAAAGAGTGCAGAGAAGAGCAACCATGATGATTAGGGGACTGGAGGCTAAAACATATAAAGAATGGTTGCTGGAACTGGGTATGTCTAGTTTAATGAAAAGAAGGCCTAGGAGTGACATGAGAGCAGTGTTCCAATATCTCAGGGGCTGCCACAAAGAAGAGTTAAACTATTCTCCAAAGTACCTAAGGGTAGGACAAGAAGCAATGGGCAGGGCCATCTTAACAGCATTATTGGCTCCGGGCAAAGCAGTGTACTGGGGCCCCTATGACTACTCACAGGAATAAAAATGTAAATAAAATAAAAATTAAACTTATGATACAAGGTGCATTGAAGGGTTAATATACACAGATGTATGGGGCCTATATGCTCACACACACACACACACACACACACACACACGTATGTATGTATGTATGTATGTATGTATGTATGTATGTATGCATATATACACACACACACATATCTATCTATATATTGGTGGAAGTCCAAAGCTGGCTGAGGAATTCTGGGAGTTGAAGTCCACAAGTCTGAAAGTTGCCAAGTTTGGGGACCCCTGCTTTAGCGTGACACCTGGGGATGTCTAATTCCCACTAGCTATCCCCCACTTGTTAAGGCCAGCCTTTTTTCGAGGTTGGGGCGGGGGAGCTAAAAGGGCTAAAACAGACAAAGCAGCTACATTGGTTTATATCTATATTCTCTCCACCCTCCCGGGGATCAGGATTGGGGGGGGGGGGGAAACGGCGCTTTCTGCACCGCCGCCTGGTTCAAGTCCTCCAGTAACAATAAATAATATAAATAAATAAATAAATAAATAAATAAATAACCAATTGGTTTCCAGGCTCAAACTTACGGTACTTATCAGGTTGGAAAATCAAATTTGGCTCCTTTCACCTTCTTCCGGCTGGGGACGGAAATGACGCGCACACACAAAACGGACACGATTGTTCTGGGAACGCAAGAGCGACGTTCTTGCCCCTCCGCGTATTTGGCAGAAGTCGGAGGGGGCGTGGCTAAGAGGCATCCGAGGTCCAGGCGCCCTTCCCGTCATTGGTTTTACTGTAGCTCTACGCCCTACGCAGCTGAGTGTGCTAAACCAATGTAGCTGCTTTCTCTGTTTTAGCCCTTTTAGCTCCCCCCCCATCTGGAATAAAGGCTGGCCTTAACATGTGGGGGATACCTAGTGAGAATTAGACATCCAGATATCACGCTAAAGCAGGGGTCCCCAAATGTGGCAACTTTAAGACTTGTGGACTTCAACACCCATAATTCTCCAGCCAGCATAGCTGGCTGAGGAATTCTGGGAGTTGAAGTCCACAAGTCTGAAAGTTGCCAAGTTTGGAGACCTCTGCGCTAAAGACTTCATTCTCTCCCGTATTAGATGAACTCTTATTTTTCTAGGCCAGTGTGAATTGGGACGGGTGGAGGAAGTAGGGCCAGTATTTCTCAAGCTTGCCAACTTTTAAGATTATGTGAGTCTCAACTTCCAGAATTCCCCAGCCAGCCAGCCAGCCAGCCAACCAACCAACGTTGAAGTGAGTAAGTAAGCCAGCTTTCCCTTTGACTTTTCTTGGAGAAAGTTGGAAATGATATTACGTGACTGCAATTGATCTTTACAGTGCAGTGGTGCAGCGATGTGGCAGCACTGAAGCAGCAGCAACAACATATCCCTTAAACACAAAGGTTGCTTTGTCATTTGTGACAATTTGACGATTTGGAAGAAATCACGAATCTATCATGGTTTATATGTAAAGAATTGGACTGTAGACTCTTCAGCCCCGATTTGTTTATATATTTGGTAGTACTATGGTAATAGGAAAAATAAAATTCTTACAACGATTATTCTGACCATAAACATTTACACCACCTTATTGTCAGGATTTCTCCTGACATGGTCTGCTCTATTTTCCCCCAAATATGTGATCAGACATCCATAAACCCAAAGAGTACCAGCTGAGGTAGTTACCAAATGCAAAAATTGACTGTTAGATAATAGAAAAACAATACAGAAAATAGCAACTCTGCTACTATCTAGTGATAATTTGGAATTTTGCAGTCAAAATCATTTAAATGTAGTGATGGCTCAATCTATTAAAATAACTTGATTCAGTGTAAGATGAAATTACTAAACTAGTTGTATTTATTGGCATAATAGGTTTTTTTTACTATTACTATTTTTACTTAATGCTTAAAAATAAGCAATGACTAAAAATGTATAGATGATTTGGTCTATGCAATGTTTTTACATGTTATTTTTATATGTTATTGAAGCTGATTATTAATTCTCTATTATTTACCTCAAAATTCCAAACTGTTCAATAAGAAATGTAAGGAACTACTGGTAAAAAGTTTATTACAGTCAAAAGTCCCCACAGGAAATAAATCAGAAACCACAAATATTTACCAGTATACATATTTAATAATGTAACAGAATTCATTAATTCCTAGCTGCCTAGCTGCCTAGCTTTATCAATTTTTCATGTTATAGTTTCTTTAGCCTCAGTTTATGTGTTTTATCAACTGTTTAATTTAATGGAATTTACTACAAATGTTGTATGTGTAGAGTTTTCATCACAGCTTAATCACATTTATTTGCAAATAAGTCCAAATTATTTAAGTGGCATCTGCTAATAGTCCTGAGCAAGTTTAGTCTATACAGAAATTGCTTATTATTTATTTTAAATATATATCGGCTTTCAGTAGTTCATCAAATGTCAATAATACAAAATTAAAAATAAATAAATAGAATGAACCAAAACATGAAGACTGTATCTTTGTAGCAGTTGAGGTTAAAATTGTTTCCAATTAGCAGCCTATCCAATTTAGCAGAAAACTCTTAAAATAAATGTGATTTCAAACTTCCATCAAATTAGGGGACTGTGTTATCCTATCTAGCAGGAGTGTCAAACTCTATTTCATTGAAGGCTGCATCAGGATTGTGTTTGACCTTGTGGGGCTGGGGTGGGCATGGCCATGGTAGCCAAGGCTAGTTTAAGGTCACTCGTGTCGGAGGCGCCTATAGTGGCCTGAGCGCTCTGCCAGCAAAAATGGGCTCCCGAGACCTGTTTAAAGCTGCGATAGCCTCCTGCAACCCTCTGCTAGTGAAAACGGAGCTTGGTAGAGCCACGTGCAGCCCTCATGAGCTCCGTTTTTGGCCACAACAGCCTCCTGCAGCCCTCTGCCAGCAAAAAAGGAGCTGCAGGGGGTGCATGTGGCCCTCCCAAGCTCCGTTTTTGCTGGCAGAGGCACTGAGGGGCCGTTCCTTCGCTGTTTCCAGGGCGCAGGCCAGATCTAAGCACTCTGCAGGCTGATCCAGCCTCCAGGCCTTGAGTTTGACAACCCTGCTATGTAGCAATGTAATACTTGTGAGGCCACAAGAGGAGAGAGATAGTGGAGAAAGAACTATTCAGTTCCATAGCAGCATGCTTTAGAATAGATTCTTCAATGAAAAGATTATCATATACATATTTTGCCTCAGACTGCTGCTTTAACAACAAATCCTTTTTCAGTTTATGCTTTCATTAAACAAGTCATCTGAAGAAGCTGACACAATCCATACACCTTATTTGATAATAAAATTGATTAATCATTAAAGTGCCATAAAACTATTTTTACATAGTTCCTGAGAAATAGAATTGCTTTCTATGCTTTTTAACCCCCTATTTCCTCCAACTATCCAAGATAAAGTTTTCCACTATGGCAATTTTTAGGATTTTCTTTTTTTTCCTTTTTCTTTTTGGCTTGAATTTACTTCAGATCAATTGGAGCCATCTCTAACTGGACTGATTATAACAACATTTAAGTACATTTTAATGCCTCTGCAAATTTATCAGAGGAACAATGATTTGAATGAATGCAGTGATAGTTGGACCAGGTGCTTTTTTTTCAACACTTGGGAGAGAATAAATCTACAGTACATCCCATCTGTGTCAATCTAAAAATAACATCAGGGCAAAACTCTTGGGAAATCTTCAGCTTTGTTAGCTGCTGTGTATCTGAATCTAACATTTTGCAGAAAATAAATGAATCTGATAATTTATCTAGATGGGATGGGCCTAACAAACCTAATAAATAAAAATAAAAAAATAAAAAATAGCTGGAGAATAATTATTCTGGAGATCTAAACTACAAATGTAATGGAAATTATCAGAAAGCAATATAAAACTTAACATTTCTGAATACAATTTGGAAAATAAAAAAATTGTGGTAGTACTTGAAAATTGTGGACGCTGATAGCTTATTTCTTGCTGTGTCTTGTATGCTGAATAAAAACAAGAACTTTACAATCCAGTTTGTATCTTATCAGAAAGAACCCTTACTATGTTTAATGGGAATTACTCTCAACAGTGTTTGTATAGGATTACAATCCAACATGGTTTTGCAAAATATTTACTATCTGCACAACTGATTGCCAAGAGAAATCTGGCATCCGTCTTGCATAATAATTGAGCTGGACTTTTAAAATTAGTAGAGTATTGTGGACAACATTTATATGTATGTATGTATGTATGTATGTATGTATATGTATATGTATATGTATATGTATATGTATATGTATATGT